TGTATGAGGCATTGAGTTCGATTCTCAGCACCAAATATAAATAAATAAAGCCCACTGGCAACTAAAAAAATTTTAAAAAGAATAAGAAAGGAGATAACTTCAGGAAAAAAGATAAGACAGGAAGGCCTGAGAGGAGCAGCTGGGGTAAGCAAACAATGGAGACCCCTGAGTTTCCTATGTAGCCATTTCCCTCTACTCACCTTACCCTGTGTGGAGGTCAAGTGAGAAAACTGAGGCTTAGGAAGGGATAAGGAGAATGTGCTTTGAGGAAGAAGTCTTGAAATGGGGGGGAGGAGGGGGCTACATGCTTTGGACTTACATGTATTCTTAGGAAAATCTTTTCCGTGTTCAACACCAATTGGAGCAGAGGATCCAATTGTCCCTGGTTGCCCTCAAAGGCTGGGAGAGATGCTGGTACTGTGCTCAATTTTCTAGTGGATGCTGAATCAGGAGACATAATGGGGGCCACTAGGTTGATGCTGGGGGTCCTAGGACTTGCTAGGAGGTTTGGGCACTTAGCTGGTTGGATTCAGGCCACTACTATAGGCAGGTTTATTGTGGTCTCATTCCTCATACTAGTCCCAACATTTTACTCTTTCAAAATGCACTAGGTCTGGCCTGTAAATATTTCCAATATTTCTAGAAAAATGGAGGTCTGGAACTGGCCTGGCCCAGCCCTGTCTTCCTTTAAAAAGACTTAGCCCCCAGAAGGGAGGGCTGAGCAGATGGGAGTGAGGGTTAAAGGGTATTGGCTAGAGAAAGGGGAGTTAGTATCTGCTTGGAAACCCAGCAGGGGTTTAAATACCTGTGGGAGATGAAAGCAAAGAGGACGCTAAGACAGGAAATGTAGATCAAAAGGTCACAAAGGCCCTAGCAGCATTAGCATGCCTGCCTCTGGCCCTACCAAACCCCCTAGGGCCATTTTCTCCATGGTCCTTAATTCCCAAAGTGGAAGTGGGGGAGCAATGCACCTTAACTCAGCTGGCATCTGCACCTCTGCAGTGGTTCTGGTTTCCCTGCCTGGGTTGCTAGAGATACACTAATACATGCACAGGAGATGAAAACTGCAATTATTTAATTCAGAGAACAGAAGTTGGGGGTGGAGTTTAGGCTTAATGCCTATGAAATTTCCAACGGATTGTTATGTAGAAGAGGAATGGTAGCTGACTGAACTCAACTCCACCCCTAACACACACACACACACACACACACACACACACACACACACACACATATGAAAGTCTTACCTATACCATGAGAGGCTCAGATTAGCTTTGAGAAAGAACTTCCTGGTAGTAATATGAGTGATCCAGGAATGAGTGACACAGGAAGGCTTAAAATATTTCCTCTGGGGGCTTAATCTTTATCATTTTAGTTTATCTTCCTAGTCAGGATTTCAAGCAGGAAAATTGATGGAATAACACTGGACATCTCTCTCCCCTTCTATCCTCAGGTTAAATCAGTTAAATTAGTTAAATATCAGGTAATATCAGTTAAAAATCAGTTAAATGAGGGTACTGGAAACCTCTTTGTTTCTACAAGCCAGGCTTGCTGTTATTTCTCATTCCATTATTCCCTGGACCAATGGAGCAGAGCTATTCCCCTCATACACACTTTTATGAGAATGTGAATGTAACAGTTCTTGAGGAATTTTTAACACCTCTACTATACTAGGAGGGAATCATTAAGCTGCCAACTTCTTCCAACTATATTCCTTCCTTCTGAAAATTTCAGCTCCCAATATACTGCAACTAAGACCAAGACTCAAAAGAGACATGAAAAGGGTGATAGGCTCACCTACAGGCAGCCCCCAAGTTAAATCAGCATGCTTTCACTGGGGAGGGGGGAGTTGAGAGGAGGGAGGTAGTTAATGAGATCTGCATTAAGTGGAGGTCCTGGGGACTGTGACACAGTATAAAAGGCTACAACACAGGAGACAGTAGCCTCTCCCTAAATAGTTATGTGACTTTAAGAAAGCCCCTATTGCTTTTAGGTCTCAGGATTTCCATTTGCAAGCAGAAGGGTCTTAACTGGTGCTCCCAAAGGTTTGTCTAGATGAGAAGAAAGGGTTCAGCAGAGTCCTAGAAGACACTTCTCAACCCCTACCACATGAGTATTTAGGCTCCATGTTCTCGCTGTCCCTACCTTGCCCCATCAAGGCAAAAGATAGGCTGAAATAGTGAAAGTTCCCTCTGAAGACAATCTGCCTGCAACTCGAAGACCAAAAGTGGCCTCTAAATGACTTCCAGCAGGTTTCCAATCCCTTTCTAAGACACCTTTCTAAAACCCTTTCAACAATTCTGTTTTTATCATGGCATATTTATACACAAAAATACCAACCCATCCCCGAATTCCCCACTCTTCAAAGCCTCCTTCCCCCAAAAGGATTACATTGCCATTCCACAGTCAGGCATTTGGAAACACCCACCACTGGGCCCCATTCTCTTCTCTACCTTTGAGACATACTATTTCAACCAGAATAAGCTCAATCACCTTACTCATACTGCCTGCCAGTCACCCCCTCCCATTACTAATTTTGCTGGCCTTTTGCCTTCCAAACCCCTCTACTTTCTGGCAGCTTCCCAGTATGATCCCCCTGTATATACAGATCTTTCATCTCTCTCTATGGCAGTTTGCCTCCAGGCTTATGAATCAGCAACCAAAGGTATGCAGTCTGGATTCTGAGTAGTCCAGTCCCCGAGATTGTTGTTGAGGGGATATATCATAATATATTTCCTCTTGCAGTTACAATTCGCTCCCCTTCTCCTAATTGGGCATACTCAGTAAATGTCTGAGCCTCGAGTATTATTACTCTAGTCATTTTCATATGGATCAGAACTAGCAAAAGTTGGAAAGGTAAGGATCTTCTCAAAAGCTCTACAAAGGCAGTGAGTCCTTCCAAAGCATTCATTAACTGCTCTGTACTCCTAGGCACTGAGAGGGTTGTGGCTTAGATCCAGGTTTCATTTACTCTACTGAGGGGTTCTGAGAGAATCCAGACATCTGGTATATCAGGGAGACAAAGCAGAGGCAGGAGAATTTAATTATAGTCAGTCTCCTATTATAATTTAAGCTCAAAAATGAACAAGAGACCCAGGCATCCCTGGAAGAATTCTGAGAAAGAAGAGGTCATTACTGGTTGGAAGAAGCAGGCAGGAAAGGCACCAAAGAAGGTAGGCTGAAAACTGGGGCCTAAGAGGGATGAGGATTTGGAGAGGTGTGTAGGGTGAGTGGGTTTTGGTATTAAGGGAGAGAATTATACAGAGCAGATACATTAGGTGGCTGTTGGACTGAGGCAAAGGCCTTAGGCAGGAGAAGCCTACCTTCAAGTACAGGTTTATGGCTGGGGCCTGGACAGAATAAGAGGTGACTGTTGTGTAGTATCTGCAGTTCTAGCTGGGATCAAAAAGGTCCCAAACTAGCCTTCCCCTAGGTAAGGGATTCTTTAGGTCTCATTGCCTCACCTCAAAGAGCCCTGCAGCTCATAGAGCTTTCCACTAGCATAGGCTGATCAAAGGTCTGAGAAGAGCCTGCCAAGCCTTTTGGTCATTCTCTCCCTCCTGTTCCTCAGGAAAGCCAAGAGAGCCTATTGCCAGAGGTGGAAGATGTTGCAGTGGGTGGGGCCCAAAGAGGGGAGCTACACCGCAGGAGGGGGGCTCTGCTGGAATCCCAGAGGCTGAGGCAGGGAGTTCAACAGTGCAGTGCCCTCTGCCCTGCCCATGCCTCTCTGCTGCGGTAGGCTGGGAGAGCTGCAGAGGGAGGTTTTTGTATGCTGGACAAGGCTAGCCTTGACCCCGAGGCCCACTCCAAGGCGAGCCTGGACAGATGGAGGGCGACTCTTAGGGGCTAATCCAGCTGCTGCCTGGGGCCCCAGGCTGTGGTGCGCCTGGTGGGATTGGCCCTTCACTGCCTGGGAACCCAGGCGAAGTCTGATGTTCGGGTGGTCATCAATGTCAGAGGTGCCTGCAGCAGACAATGACAGCGGCCCAGCAGCCTGGGTATTTTAAGTAACTGCGAAGTTGTAGGGTTTGGCTGCCTCGCTAGCTCTCTCACACACATACTGTTTGTTCCTTACTACAATAACTGCCCTCTCGGTCTCTGGTTCCGAAATCCCCCCACAACATAGTGCCTATCGCAGTTATAAAATGGGAGGCTGCAGAGAAAAGCGCGGCTAATGCCCTCCAAGGGGAAAAGAGGCGAGGCGAGGGGGGAGACAAAGCGGCCTTGCAGCTCTAACCCAAGGACTAGCTTTAGCTGCTGCTCTAACTCAAGGACCTGCAAGAGCCAGGCTGCTGACCCGCCTGCCGGCGGGGGCGGGCGCCAGATGTGTCTGGAGGCCCAGGAGGAGGGGGTGCGGCTGGTTGAGGCTGCAGGACCAAGGTTCAAGAGGGAAGTGAGCAGCCCACAGGCCCAATTGCGCTCCCCTGGGGAGGGCACAGGCAGTGTGAATCTCCCAATTCACGCTAAAGCCGGTCTCTACTGGGCCCAAGCTAGAGCTTCTACTTGGTCTGCAGAGAGAAGGGAGAGGCAGGAGATGCGCAGCAGAGGGGAGGGGCCGCAGCAGGGCCGCGGGGGTGAGCAGTACCCGCGTAGCACAGCTGTTCCAGCAAATGTGCTACAACAAAGCTGTGTAACTCCCGGCCTACGAATGCACTGCTTGGGGTTCTGGCTGGTGGCGCCCCACCCGGGACCGCGCGGCAGCACGTGCAGGCCCATCCCCGCCTCCCTTGAGAGCCCAGAGGCATTGCACAGTCTAGCCTGCCCGCCTGCCCGCCCTTTCCACCATACCCCTAGCCACGGTCGCCCGCGCCCTGAGGACTCGCGGCCGCTTAGCTCCCCACTGGACAGTTCGCAAAGCGGGTTCCGAGGGAAAGCATTGAATGGCCCGGACTCCAACCGGCCCAATCTTTAGTGCCCTCCTCCAGGCGACCAGAGCGGAGCACGCGGGAATGTACCCGACCGCCGGCAGGCGGAGGCTCCTGGCTGTGCGCAAAGCTTACCCGGCCGGGTCCTGCTCCCAGCCCGGTTATTGTCTGCCGCGCCGCTCTGGCCCGGGCCAGAGTCTCAGCTGTTGCGGCTGAGAGCGCCGCCACTGCTACTCCTGCTGCCGCCACCGCCGCCGTCGCCGCGGCTCCAGTCACCTCCGGCACAGACTCTCCTTCCCCAGGCTCTGGGCAGCTCCCCCATTCCCCCTCCCCCCCCCCAACTCCACGACCACAGGGTGGGGCGTCCGTGCCATGATTGGCAGGTGTGTAGCCCAATCGCTAAAGTGGGAAGGCGTGCCCGAGCCCGCCCACTGTTTTCCTTGGTGCCTTTCTCTTTAAATGCAAATAAGCGCGGGCGTGGTGTTGGCAGGGGGCGGGGAGGGTACGGAACCCCTTGCTGGGGCTCCGCACTCCCGAAGCCGGGCGGGTTGTGGCGTGGCTACGACGCCAGCTCTGGGGCCGGTCCCGCCCAGATGCGGCTCACGGGATCCCTGGAGCTGGGTTTCGGTTTTGCGAGCACTCCCATTTCCGTGGTCGCTGTGCATTAGCGCTATAGCTCCCTGGCCTCCACCAGGCAGTTTATCCCCAGAACTTGAGGCCGGTGGGGAAAGGCGGGGTAGGGAGATTGTGGCACCTGGAGGGACTGCAGAGCCCCTTGGCACCTTGACTGGCCCGCCCTTAGACATAGAGGCAGGAACTGTGGCTCCTGCTCCGAGGCCACGCAGAAGAGGGACTCACCTGCCAGGAAAGTCAGCTGCAGCGCCCCAGCTTCCTTTGCTTCTCTAACACAAGGGCCCTCAGGGACTGCACCATAGAGGCCAACTGCCACCAGTTATCAACCGGCCCACTGCTGCTCAGAGAACTTCTCCAAGGTTACCCAGTCCGCCAATAACAGGGGCAGAATTGGAATCCAGAGCCCCGGGCTTATCCCCCCAGGCTGCTTTCACTTTTCTTCTCTGGGAAGATACCTGCTTCATAGTTTGGCTCTCATCCAAATACCCCACCTCCCAGAGAACATGGAGAACAAGGCCTCCAGAGTGCTCTCCACCTTTAACTGTGAGCCTGACAGTGCAGATCCTTTTCACTGAAAAGTCTGCATATTGAGAGAAAAATCTTGTCTGGGCCTTTAACCGGAGGTCATAATGAGGACTGAGTGAGGAGGCCTGCACTTTACTGCCTTTCCCTTTATTGTGTGTCTGGGATGTGGCAGGGGGCCAGCTGTGTTTGGGTCTCTAGCAGGAAGACATTAAGTCACATTTGTGGCTGCCAGGGCCAGGTGAGCAGAGGCAACAAAGAATCCAGTTCTACCACTAAGTCAAGAATATCCAGAAGGCCCAGCCCTAAAACTCTGTGGCTGTCTGAAAAGGTGGGGAGGGGGAGGTGATTAAAGTTGAGAGGAGGAAGGATTAGAGAACACTGTGAGACAATTTTTCATTTCAGAAGTATTCTTTGCTGCTCTACAGGGTCCTGTCTGCCTTGAAGAGATCCAGTTGCTGAACTGATAGAGGTGGACTACTTTCCCTGCAGTTGTGGGGCACAGGAACTGACTGGCATGGCTACTAGGTATGGGATCTGGTTTCAGCTTTGTCTTGGACTTGCTGTGAGACCTTGGCCAATGCCTTTTCCTCTCTGGGACAGTCTGTCATCCTATCTCCACAAGGATGGGGTAAGCTCTATAAGTTCAACTCAATTCTTTGTATAATATTCTGTGATGTTTCTTGATCTTCTATGACTTTCTGTACTTCTCCAACAACAACAAAAAAAATCAACATCAAACATCACACCCCCATCCTAGTCCTGGGTCTAAATAAATGGTAGGGAATAGGCCTAACATACAACATTGGTAAATCTCAGATTTCCCACCTAGATGGCTGGACTGTTGTGTTTCACTGGAGCTATGCTTTCCTGATCTGCAAAGTTCTGATTCTTATTTGTTGGGCTTGATTTGGAAATTTTCTTTTCTTTTCCATCACCTCCATCTTAGGCTTCCCTGATGCCTTGTGCCTCTGTTTACTTGCCTTGGTCTCATTTCACTTAGAACCTTCATTCTCTGAATTAGGTCAAGATTGTAATTTGGAGAAAATGCTTTACAAATCTGGAACCCAGGGAAACAAAGACTTAGCACAGTCTCGGCTATGGGAACAGAAAGAGAGGAGGTATGCTTGGTAGTCTGGGGTGGACTTGAAGTTCTCCTGAGCACTGTTGAGCTCCTCCTGTTACAGAAGCTAATCTGCCAAGCCTATTGCTAGCCTCCAAGCATTCTTCCACAGCAGTCAGTTTTGGAAGCAGTGCAATGTATGCAGGTTAATTCATCACTCTGAGTCTCAATTCTATCATATGTCACAGAGTTGTTGTAAGAATAGGCAGTATTCCATGTAAAGTGGCACTGAGCCTGGTATATACAAAGGTCTCAATGTTAGCTTCTGTTGTTGTTGTTGTTAATATAATTACTATTATTATTATTTTCCTTCTTTTCCAACGCATGTATCTTCAAAGTTCTAGAACTCAGTGTATGACTTTGAAATCACTTTTTAATATAAGCACAAATAAGCCTGTGATACCTTATGCACAGATTACTTTTGCTTATGCAGTTCCCAGAGTATAGTCTCTTGTTCATCTTTATATTCTCAACACTGAACAAAGTTTAGCAAAAACTCATCACTGAGCATGTGTTTGCTAAACATACTCAAATGAGACATTTTTAGCTCTAATATCAAATTTAGGCCTCACCAACCATCAGTGAAGTGTAATGATATTGCTTACTGAGCACCTCCTCTGTGTCAGGTTCTCTGTTAAGTGCCACATTCATCACACAGAATGATAAACTGGACAAATATTCTGTCCTCAAGGGTAATCAGTCTATTAGAGGAGGAACACAACTTCCCACAATGCCTTGCGGTTTCCAACTTGGGCAAGGAATTGTTGGATGGTGTTGTCACCCATTGTACTGAGAAATATAGGAATAGGATTAGGGAAACATGATTCTGTTTAGGCCATTCTGAGTTTGGCAAGTCAGAAATCACAACTTGGGGCTGTGTACTTGCTTTTTCCTCTGCCTTTGATGTTTGTCCTCTGCATATGGGCATGGTTTGCACCTCACTTCCCTCAGGTATCTATTCAAATGTTTCTAATAGTGAGATCTTCCCTAGACACTTGATATAAAAAATAGAAATCCCAATTCTCACCCCTTTCATTTCCAGTCCTTTAATTGGCCTCTTTCCTATCCATGGAATGTACCACCTTTTGGCATATAATTTTGTATCTATTTTTATTATCTTTTTTTCAGTGGCTTTTTTTCCTATCATAATAGAAGCTCTGTGAAGGCCAACAGACATTGAACAAAATATATATGTAAAATATATAGTATGTCAGATGGTGATAAATGTGATAGAGAAAAATAGAGTAGGGGAAGGAGTAGAGGGTGCACTGCTGTGAAGAGTGTTGTTTTAAATAGGGAATTTCAGTTATCCCCCACTGAAAAGATGAGACATTCAAGCAAAGACCTAGAAGAATCAAGAAAAACAAACCATGAGGACATCTGAAGGAAGGACCTTCTAGGCAGAGGGAACAGGAAATACAAAAGCCCTGAGGTGATAATATGCTAGAATGTTAGAGAAAAACCAGACAGCCAGTATAGCTGTAACAAAGGAAGTAAGGGGGCAAAGTGGTATGAGAAGAGGCCAGAGAGGGCATGTGGGCAGATATATATGGCTTTGTGAGTCAGTTTAGATACTTCAGACTTTGCAGGATTTAGAGCTGAAGAGTCACATGATTTTAGTGAAATGTCTAGGGAGTACTAGCAAGAGAAGCATCAGGGAATCCAGGAAGTAGGCTTTAATAATGAGCTAGGCAAGAGCTGATAGTAGCTCAAATCACAGTGTAGGCAGTGAGGTGGTGAGAAGTATTTGGATTCTGGATGTACGCAGAAGATAGAAATGGCTGAACTTCATAATAGCATATTAGATGATAGCTATGAAAGAAGAGAGGAGTAAGGGAAATTAGCCCCCAAAGCCCTGAGAGGGAAGAATTGGCTAGGTGAGGCCAAAGCCAGGAGAGCTGTCTCTCTCCTGAAGCCAAGGAAGACACTGGGGTTTTATGAAAAATAGTGTTGCCAAGAATGTGTCAGATGCTACTTTGGGGTACAGGAAGATCAAAGTAGAAAATGTATCATTGGATATGGCTCTAGAAATTCACTGGTGGTGTGGTAAGGCTGTTTAGATCAGAAGTGGGGATAACCATCACACTATAGTAGGGTATCAAGAGAATTGTTGGTGAGGGAAGGAAGAATATATACAGCCTCCTTGTTCCAGAAGTTTGATTGGAAAGAGGTAGTATGCATTAATCAGATTTTCAGCACTGTGACTAAAATACCTAACAAGAATTATTTAGAAAGAAATATTTATTTGGGGCTCATAGTTTCAGAGGTTCAGCCCATTGTCAGCTGGTTCTGTGCTCTAAGCCTGAGGTGAAGCAGAGCATCATAGTGGAAAGGTATGATGGAGATAAGCTTTCAGCTCATGGCTGTAGAGAAGCAGAGAGAGAATCTGATAAGCCAGGACAAAACATAATCCCCAAGGGCATGTCACCCAGTGACTTACTTCCTCCAGCCACAACCCACCTACCTACAATTACTACCCAGTAATCCATTCGTATTATTTTCCAAATGGATTAGTTCACTGATTAGGTTACAGCCCTCATAATCATTTTCCCTCTGAAAATTTATGCATTGACTGACATGGGCTTTTTGGGTGACAACTTATATTCAAACCATAACATGGTGGCTAGAAGAGTATTTGAGGTTTAGGTTTATATTTATAAGATGGAAGGATGTGAGCTCATTTAAAAGCTGAGAAGGAAGTCAATCCAGTAGAAGACATAGGAGACAGGATAGTTGATAGGTTGGAGACCATGGATAGGGGTAGAGGATGGGATCCATAGTGAATACAGATGAGTTAGCCTTGGTTAGGAGGAGGAACCAAAACAAGAGGGAAGGATGGGTGGATTCAGTAGAGTTAGTTGTTATAGTAGTTTTTGAAGCTATCATGCCTAATGCCTTCTACCTATTCTGGGATGTGGGAAGAAATGTTCCCAGTTGACAGCAAGAGTAAAACAGTAGTGGGGGTGGGGATGTTCAAGCAAGCTTGTTAATATGGGATGAATTTTGAAATAGCTAATGCAGAGAATATCAACTTGATAAAGGTCCAGGTTTGTTGACACCTAAACATATATGGCAACCTCATTCTATAATTTTGTGAGATCCTGCTTCCTAGCCATGTGACTTTGAACAAATTACTCAATCTCACTGCACCTCAGTTTCCTTATCTACAAAATGGGCATGAGTAAGGCAGGACAATTGAATTATATGAGTTAATTCATTTAAAGTGATTACTTAGCATATTTCCTGGCACATAATAAGTGATTGATAGAAAGTATTTATATTTCTTTTTAAAAACTTATTATTTTGGCTTGACAAATCACAAATGCATATATTTATGATGTGTAATGTAATGTTTTGATACATGTGTAACGTGGCAAGATTAAATCAAACTAATTAAGGTATTCATCATCTCGTCCATCATTTTTTATGATGAGACATTTAAAATTTACTTTGTTGTTTTGAAATATGTAGTACATTATTATTGACTGTAGTTACCTTTCTATAAAAATAGATCTTAAAGCCTATTCTTCCTGTCTAGCTGAAACATGCTTTCTTTTGATTGACAACTCCCATTCTGTCCTCTTTACCTCCTCAGTTTCTGATAACCATTATTCTACTCTTATCTATTTAGATTTCTGTGTTAGTCATTTTGATTTATTTTATGGCATTCATCATCCTGGGCTTAGGAGAGAGGATGTTACTGGATGAGAGACTGAAGTGATTGAACACAGAATCAACTGATGAATGGATAAGGAAAATGTGGTACATATAGTCAATAGAATATTATTTAGCTATAAAAAGATGAAATCCTGTCATTTTTAACCACATAGATGAATCTGGGGATCATTTTGTTAAGTGAGATAAGCCAGGCACAGAAAAACAATACCATATACACTGACTTATTTGTGGAATCCTAAAGAGTTGATCTCATAGAAGTTGAGAGTAGAATGATGATCACCAGAGACAGGGAACAGTAGAGGAGAAGAAATGTCAGGGAGAGGTTTACCAATGGGTACTTGTTGGGTTTTAACACAAGTCAGTGTTGACCAATGGGCACTTGTTGGGTTTTAACACGAGTCAATGTCGAGGAAGGCTTGCTGTTCTTGAATGTATATATTATCCTGGTTAAGGGTAAAGGAAACTGGTCACTTCTCTCATCTCCAATCATTAGGTGTGGATCAAAGCTAAATGACCTTGGTTGTGAAGTAAAGGAATATACTCATAAAATATCTGAAGTAATCCATCTGCACAGTAGGCATACAACTTATCCTATATTCCCTACCACTTGCCAGCAGAGTGCTGCCCTCCATATTGTCCCTGCCTGCTGTCACCGAGAAATACACAAGTAATAAAATGTCCAAACCCTCTGAGTTGATTATTCCAAGTTGTTGGAATTCTTTGGAATTGGTAAACAATATTCTGGGGCTTTTACAGCGTTGGTATTAAACAGTATTAAGTTATAGTTAGATAGGAGAAGTAAGTGCTGGTATTTTATTGCATATCAGGAT